CGTTTCCTGTCAGTAGACACCTGAGCCAGCCTTTGATATTTTGGGCTTCCTTAAACAATAAGATTTATGATCTTAAGCACAGGGTGGAAGGGGTTGCCTTTTTTAATATACTGAATATGAATTTTTCCTCTGTGACCCATTTTATGAGCACATTATTTTTATGCTCTTCTTGCAGTATTTATATTTTGGTTTACTTAACATGTAAGGGGAATATATTAAAATAATGAAAAATAAAATATATTTTAAAAGAGTATGGATTATACTAGATGGATACTAGATATTCCTAGTATAATCCATTTTGGATTGTCCCTGTTTTTCTTGATTTCAGTCATTTTAAAGGGATTCTCACAGATATTCTTTGGAAGGCTAATGACACTTTGCTGTATCTTGCTGAGGTAAGAAAGCATCTTTTGCAGACTTTCCGCTATGGTATCTCTCCAATTTTTGTTTTTTACTTAGTGCTTTGGATATAAACAGTAATTTTCCCTTCTGTAGCAGTTCATCCAATGATAGAATAATAATACTTATGCCACTGAAGCTTTTAAGTTCTGTATAAATATTAGTTAAACTGTTAATATCATAGAATCATAGAAAATGAGGGTTGGAAGGGACCTCAGGAGGTCACATCTAGTCCAACCCCCTGCTCAAAGCAGGACTACTCACTACTAGATCATTCCAGCCAGGGCTTTGTGGTGGGGTTTTAAAAACCTCCAAGGATAGAGATTCCACCATCTCTCTAGGTAACCCATTCCAGTGCTTTCCCACCCTCCTAGTGAGAAAGTTTTCCCTAATATCTAACCTAAACCTCCTTTGCTGCAACTTGAGTCCCACTGCTCCTTGTTTTATCATCAGCTACCACTGAGAACAGTCCAGCTCCATCCTCTTTGGAACCCCCCTGCAGGTAATTAAAGGCTGCTGTTAAATCCCCCCTCAGTCTTCTCTTCTGCAAACTAAATCAGCCCAGTTCCCTCAGCCGCTCCTCAGAAGTCATGTGCCCCAGCCCCTGAACCATTTTTCTTGCCCTCTGCTGGACATCCTTTCTATAGTTAGGGGCTCACAACTAGACACAGTACTCCAGATGTGGCCTCACCAGTGCAGAATTGAGAGGAATAATTACTTCCCTCAAACTGCTGGCAATGCTCCTACTAACAACATACTGAGCTGCATTAGCCTTCCTATCCCAGTAAGGCAGCATAGAAGGAAAGGATGAACACACACATCTCTACTATAGTCATGGAAAAGAAAAGACTCCAGGGTACGCAACTTGAATGAAATTAGTTATAGCAGGTTCTGGAAGCAGCATCAGAGTCTGAAACAGTGTAAGAGAAAAAAGTAGTTATAACAGGATCTGAAAGCTGTGTCAGAGTCTGAGACGGTGTAAGTGAAAATGTCTTGCTTCTAGTTTCTCGTGGGCTGTCCTCTTTATTATAAATATGCTGCAATTACTTTAATATTCAGGATCACACTTCATAGGCCAGTGAGTTCAGGGACAGCAATCTCAATAGCAAGATGTTGCTACTAGTTGTAATGCAAAGATTCTCCTCTAATACCTGGTAATTTTACTACACACAATATTTTCCTCTCAGTGGCAGCTACAGGCTCAACATAAAATCTCTGTTAAGGCCCAGGGAGAAGGGGAAGAAAGTGGCACAGAAAGAAGAAAAAACTCTAAAGATCCTGTCTACTAAAATGTTCAGGGAAGGGAATCTTTGATTGGATGTTTGGGGGTTATTTTTTTACTTTCCAAAGGAGTTCTACCGAAAAGATAAGCATCAAATTACCAGGCCTGACTATCTGCAAGAAACATTTGAGCAGTGTGCAGAAGTGCTGGGGCAGAAGCTCCTATCTTATCAAGCCCAGACTGATGACTACTACAATTCCTGCCTCAGAGGTAAATTCCTAGAGCAAATACTTTATGTTCCTTTTATTTAGTAGGAAATGACAATTGGAACATTCAGAGGTCTAGAGTCACCTTATTTCAGTCTTAGTCCAGTGATAATGGAAAAAGGAATCAGAATGGCCCTCATATAATGTTAAGGTCTCATTATACCACTGCATTGTTATATCTTGCTTTCAAACTGTGCAACTCATGAGAACTCACTTCCGCTTCCATTTCAGTCAGTGCAAAACTCTAAACTGATTTCAGTCAGACCAGAACTGAGTACCATAATGACCTGTAATTTGGATGATATCAGATGCTAAAATGTCATCTGCAGAAGCATTTAGCTGACAGACCTGTACAGATGTTTGGGAACTGTACGTTTCTTAAACCACTGAGGTCTGGACTAGGAAGCAGAAAGGGTATGAAAAAGATTGTGTGAACAAAGCACCCAGTCATTTTGACACTTATACTGTGTATACGTTTGATGATTTCTGGTTCTTTGACATGAACCTGTGCATGCCTCCCTTTCCAAAAGAGTTCCGAGATCAGCTGAAGTTGTTTGAAGAACAGCTCCCTCACGTTTCCCATCTGGCTATTGACAGCCTTTTAGAGGAACATGAAGAGCAGCTCAGATGCTCCATGGATCAGATTCGGCACCTCTACAGAAAACAAACAGAGGCATGGGACAATGCAAAGGTATGGTTTATGGGCATCTTGGAATTCTTCATCCATAAATATGCCACACATAGCAAAAAGCATTTTTGTATCGTTCTTTAACCAGCTTAACCTGCACTGAGCAATTTCCACAGCAACATGTGGTAGAAAATCTAGAATATGCTTGGCTGGGGAAGACTTTTGTACAAGCTGATGACAGGGGTGGTCAAGCATTGGACCAGGCTTCCTGGAGAAGTAGAGGTTGAACAGACACTTGGCCAGGATGTTTCAGTCAGGGATGAACTTTGCCTTGAGCAGGGGGCTGGGCTAGATGACCTTGTGAAGTCCCTTCCAGCCCTACTTTCCTAGATTCTAAGCTCCCAGAAAGTTAATGATTTTAATTAAATGTTTCTGCCCATCTTGTGGCTCATGTTCAGCACACATGGCTTGTATTCTTTATCCCAGAACCTGTGAGCAATCTGACTTTTCATTTGTCAAAGCAAAGAAGGGAGCAAAAAGGTGAGCACTTAGAGTTATTTTTGACAGGAAAGGGAAAGACTTGAATTTTGCTCCTTTAAATCAAAGGCTGCTATCTGCAGTGGGCTTTGTGCCAAATCCTGCAAAATGGGACAGGTCCTTTAGGGAGCAAATGAACAACTTACATGAAAAGATTGATAGCACATGGTTTATGTTAATATTAGGGAATCAGCATTTGAGATTAAAGCCATTCAAAAAAGAGAGCTAACACCACTGACAAGTAAATGGTAAAAACATGGCTGCTTGGTCATCTCTAGCTTGGCCATCTCTAGTGCTTGTGTTGTAAATAGGATCAGGGAACATCTTCCTCTGTAGTTCCTTATAGGATTGGCCTGTACTGCACTGCAAGGTTTCTTTGCAGCTAGTTAACAGAGATAGTCTTCACTCTTTATTGGCTTCAATTTAAAACATTTGTTTTATTTGTCTTGCTCTCTGTGACCCAGTTGGGTATTCTTGACCAAATTGCTATCTTGTTTGATTAAAGATTGTGAACAAGAATAAATTGCGTCCAGCTCTTGGGCACCCAGACAACTTGTTCCAGCTGAAGACTTTATGTGAAGATGAGGAAAAAAGACAAAAGGACCAAGTTGATGGGATTCATGACAATACCCAGAAACTGCAAGTATGAGTGACACACTAAAATGTGGCTTGTTAGAACCCAACAGATTTCTCACTGACGACTAAAATTGGGGGCCTGGATGTTTTTTAAAAATTAAAGTGAACTGAAAAAGCTCTTTTTGGTTTTAGCAGTCCCATCACAGAAAATAGCTTTTGACTCTCAATTCTGTACTATGACCCCTAGACCTTGCACCTTTTTTAAGTGTGCATAAATAGAGGTTTGCCATACAATTAACACATCCATTGTTCTCAGGGAATATTATTCCCAATGCAAACTGAGAGAAGGAATGTGCCTGCTTTTCTCTGTTTCCTTTATGATAACAGCTTTAACTGACGCACTCAAATTGGCCGTTGTAGTCACTGTATATGTGAGTGGAATACTGGTGACACCCCTTGGTTAGCTTTTTAAATTGCAGCTGGTGGGTGTCTGTTTTTCTCTGTGGCTGTCTCCACTAGCATAAATAATTGAAGCTTTGCTCTGTAGTATTAAGACTCTGAACAACTAGAATTGTTATAGGGTAACATGAAATTGCATCCTAATTTAAAAATACTCTGAACAAAGGTGTTCCTCTAAAGTTCTGAAAGAGCATTAAAAACAAAAGGCTTTCACTGAAGGTTCAATGGAGTCATGCTCCAAATTCTTATTTATTGTTACCCTCTTGACTTGAGCAGCTAGCTATTTCAGGGCCTGGTATTTTATTCCAGTTATGAAGAGAAGTTGGTAGTTAAACCAGGTATTTTTTAAGACAGTCCTTTTTTTTATAAGATTAAACAAAGTCATGAATGATCCTTGTGTTCCCACAGGCCTGTGCTACAGCGTGTGCCCAGAAATTTGTTTCTGCACTAGCTTCCCTCACAGAGAGGATGCTTCTGGAATTCGATGAGTGTATCACTATGGATGAGGTACAGGAAGCAAGTAAGTCATTTGGTGGGAACACTTGCCACATGTCATTGCCAGCAAAAAGACAGCAAGGTGTGTGTCCTTCAGAGTCCCAAATGCTACAAGGGCTGGTGCAGCCTCTTGCATAAATCCAGAGCAATCTCTAGCTGCTCTAAGTACACCAATCTCCTAGTACTCTGTGTAGCCCCAAATAGCCATAACTATCCCTCTAGCACATCCTCTACTCTGGGAATTAACTGGGGACAAGAATTGGCCCCTGTGCATGTGTAGCACTTCAGTCCTAGCATATCACATGGCAGTTCAGGCCAATACTAACACAATTTTAGGCCTGACTGAAGAGATATTTGGGTGCTCCGTTAGGAAAGAAGACCTTTAAAATCTGACATCCTTCAAACAAAAGGAATTGGCATGTTCTTGCAAAGCTTCTGAAAAATATAACCTCCAGCTGCATCTAGTTACTTTGAAGCAATGATATGAGGCTGATGTTTTCTTCACTCTGTCACAGGACCTGAAACCCCAAAAGAGAAGATTTCCACTTTAATCCGTCGTAAACAAGCAGGACTTCCCTTAGAAATCCATGAATCTAAGCTGTTGCCTGAACGTAAAAGCAGGTAACATTAGAACATACTGAACTCTTCTGCACTTCCAGGTCCAAGCACCATCCTCAGAATTTTCTGCTATGCTGAGGCAGGAGAGCAGTCTTTGGAGAATGGTTTGGTGAAGCCAAAGAGCTGGTGCAAAGTTATTACTACTAATGGTAGATTCCAGCAGTTGGTGTTGGAAATTATCCTAGTCTGCCAGACATGCTTGCCCATTCTGAGACAAAAACTACCTGGTTTTGATTATATGATTAAGTATTACATAATAAATGTGCACATAACAAAACATAGAGACATTTTTATTCCAGTGTAAAGTAATTGAACTCTTTCCTCCTTGGATGAGACTACAAAGGAACATTAATTTAATATGGATCCTGCTGTGAAGATTTTATTAGTTGATTCTAAATTCTGTCTCTCAATATCACTAACACTAAAACAGTGTGCTTCCTTTTGCCTCACCCACTTCTGCAAGAAAAGTAAAAGGAAAATTATGCTTGTGTTTTTAAGGACCTGGCCAGAAATACCAGCAACAGTGCTCACAGATACTCCAGGTTATGTTCTTTGCAGAGAAACTGCCTCTGTGACAACAGCCAAAACCACGTTGGGTCACCTGTCAGCAGCAGAAGCAAGAGATGCTGCTTATATGGTTGGTGTTAAGTGGAAATGCAGTTCCTGGGGGCTACCTCTTAATGGAAGAGTGTTTATCTGCACAGAAAGTCAGTGCTCACTGCAAGTCTTTGCATAGATCAAGGACAAAGCAGAAATCCCCTTTCCTTTCCATTTCCCTAGGACAGTGACAAAAATGGAAGGCACTGGAGTGATTTCTGCTGAGTGCTCCGTCATTGAGGCAAAATGTCATCCATCCATCCAAAGTCCTGAGTCATTTCAAATTTTTCTTTCCAGATTTTTCAGGTTCATGTCTCTTCACTTGGGCGAGTAAGAGAATGAACACATTTTAATTTCAGATTTTTCTGTCATCTGATTTACAGTGGGCCTAACTCAGCACCTAGGATAAGGTGCTTTGTTACAGTCTCCTGGAAACCCATGGTGCTGGTCCAGTTCTCTAAGTGGCCCTGCCCCAAGTGAACTGAGTTTATTTCAACTAGATTCAGCATTCATTTTGTAGGGCAGGTGGCATCTTTAGAGTTTATCTAGTTCAGTGGCATGGCTTTTCGTAGGCAACAACCTACTTTGTCAGATATTATTATAATATCTGATGAAGTAGGTTATTGCCTGTGAAAGCTCATGTCTTTCTGAACAAGTTGGTCTGTACCACACCCGGAGGACATAAAAATAAGGGTGCAATGAAATTGTATCCCTAATCCCAACAATTGTACTTCCTGCAATGCCCTGAGGGAGTTGTGGGACAAGGCAAACACAATACCAGGTCACAGTCCCTGCTGCTCACCATAACCCAGTACCCCAGCCCAGCTGATGGCCTTCCCATGCCTCAGCATCCTGAAAAGCATGGGGTGCTGAGCCCTAGGCATGGCTGTACTGCATGGCTGGCAACCAAGGCCTGCCATGCAGCTGGAATTGAGCTCCATAGCAGGGCTACCCTGCTGCATGGTCAATTTAAGGTGTGATGGAAAGCAGCAACAAAAATGTTCCAGGTATTTTGTGGAGCAATTTTGTGGCTGGTTTCTTGGTTTTGTTCCATTAAATCACTGAAATGGGCAAGTTATGGTGCAATTAACAGCTTAATTACATCCTAAGTGTAATATCTGCTAGAGCTCTAAGGTGCTACCCTGCTGTACTTTCTGCTGACTTCATACTGACATGGTCTACTGCCTCTTGTGTTCATTTTGTGTGTAATTGTAGGCTATATATTACAGCAGATGGCAGCAAGACCATAAATTGTGAGGCAACTGCTGAAGCATTAGGTATCCTCTAGATATACAGAGTTCTGTATCACTCTGTATATCTAGAGGATACTTAGGCAGCTTGGTAGGATTCGATTTTTATCAGTAAATGTCGACTTCGCCTCACAGACTGACAAAAAATATGTCCATCATTAATAATCAAAATTTATAGAAAGGGGATGTGTTGGACTGAACTCCCAGAAACCCCAGGGGACTGGGAACAAAGGAAATAAATTTCATGCAATCCTGAAAATTTAAATAGATAAAAATCAAAATAAATGCTTAAAAATAAACATTGATATTATCGGTCAACATTATTTTATTTTTAATTGAATTCTGCCAAGCCTACTAATACTTTAGTATTTGCCTTACAACCTGCCTGTTGGGCATGGAGTCTGTTCATGAGAGAGAGATTAGTATTAATCAAAGTTAGATGTACATATGATGCAGTAAATATGTATTATAAAATATGCTTTGTTATATACTTGCACATTCAGGAAATCATTTTTCTTCTTTGGAACCAGACATCCATAGTCAGTAGATCTGGAGATTTTTGTGAAAGCAGAAGGTTTTGTCTGGGTGAGGGACCTTTCAGCAGCTTCATCACAAATTTGAGCTTGCTTTTATGCCACAGTAGGTTCTAAGACAGCCAGATCTGAAGAGAACCCCTCCCTTAGTCTTTTAGGAGCTTGCTGAGCTGGGATGGAGAGCTTTCATTTTTAACCCAACTGATACTCAAAAGTAAAATTTACATCTTGATGATGCTGTTTCAGTGCCTATTAAAACAAAAAGAAATGGAAGAAAGGCAATGAATAATTCATTGTCTACAGAGCTGCATTGTCAAGCATAGAAAATAAATGGCCTGCACACAATCATCTGCCATGGTGGAGCAGGACGCAGGGCTGGGGATTGAAAGGAATGGCACATAAAGGGAATCATATTTGATCTCAACTACTTGTTTCTTTTCTGTTATTTTTACAGAAATACAAGCAGAGGCTCGACAAGGAGTTTGCCTGTATCAAGGAAGAAAGTACAGCCCAACTAATGAAGGCCCAGCACTGGGAAGACTGGTGGAAACAATCTATTCAGAAGATAAAGCAGCTCTATGTATGAAACCAGAATATCTTCTTATGTATAGATAATTGTTAATAATGTATCAGTGTCTCTGTTCTACAAATAAAACTTTATACCTCATTAGAGCTAAAAGAGTGATCATACTTAAATTTCCTGGAAAACTTGGTGAATGTCTGTGTGTAGGCCAGGGGGAGAAATTAATATTTGCTGCTTGCTTAGTCTCAAGTTCTATTTTGCTAAATACTGTTCTTTAGTCTCTTTATAATAGCCATTAACTGATAAAGATTGAGAAGAATTTCCCTCCTCAGGCAGCTTATTCCATAACTGTCCTTTGTCAGATTCCTTGTATCTGACTTAGAAGCATCTACTACCAGCCATTGTCAGAGACAACATTGCATTAGACCAAGAGTGTCAGTGGACTGTGGTGTTGGTCTGCAGGCCAGGTGAGTAGTGTGGGGCAAGTCCGTGGGCTGGTTCAGGCCCACAAACTGCGCCCCCTCCCTTCAATCTGGCATGGGGGCTGGTCCAGCTCCATGTGGTACATGCTGTGTGCTGCACGTATCCTGGACTGGCCCTGTCTGCTGCATGCAGCATACACACCAGATTTGTGATCCAACCCATGGGGCTAGTCTGACATGTGCTGCATGTAGCATACTGGTCCAGTCTCAGACCCCCAGACATCACTAAGGGCCAGATAGTACAGGGCCAGATGCAGCCTTTGGACCATATCTTTGATACACTTGCGTCAGATGAACTAAATGTTTTGTATTCAGGCTAGTAATTCCTATTTGGCTAGTTTATTTGATTTTGAAGCCAGGTTTCCAGCTCTGTAACTACAATCACCTCTAGCACCACAGATGTACACTTGCTACTCTCTAGACTGGTAGCTGACTTCATTGAGAGTATTGATGTTTCTGTTAACAGTTCAGTCACTTAATTCTGATGTTCCCAGAGAATTATTGAATGTGTTCTGTCCTCCATTCTTTCATCCACTCTGAAAACATCTAAAACATTTCCTAAACCTTGAATCACATTTGCCCTTTCAGCACGTTCTTTTCTCTCTTTCTCTTCAATGAATTTAAGAATATTGAATAATACTGGACTTACAGGATCAAAAGTAAGAGTGTGTGCCCTTTTGGCTGTTTTCTTAAAAACAGATTTATTTCCTGATCATGAATTCAGTTCTCATTGGAGGATTGTTAAAGGTTCTTCCCATCATTCAATCCCTGAGCTTTGGTAGATTATCCCAAGGACATCGTTAACCTATTGACATACTAATTGCTTGAAGTTTGAGAAGTGGGGGTTGAATTGGGGAGAAAAGAGGGTTAATGTTGAGCTGGTTCTTTACTGAAAATGCTATTGATGTTTTTGCTTTATTCTACTCCAAGAGGAAAAGACTAGATGATTCTCAGCTGGTATAAGTGACCAGCAGATCTCTTTTGAAATCAATGGAGCTGCATCTGTTTCTACAGTTAAGAATCTGGTCTGATAAGGAGACCTCCTGAGATTCAGTTGTTTCTTAATGATTTCCATATCAGATGAACTCAGCTTGCCACCTTTAAAGCTCAGTTTGGTCTCTTGAGTCACAATGGACTCTTTCCTTGTGTATCATCAATAAAATACATCCTGCAGGTCTCTGTTACCCCAGAGCACTGTCACTTGGCCAAGATATGTGCCTTCAGTAACAATGGTGTATATTATTTTTTCCTAATTCTGAAAGCTCTGTTTTTATAACTTTCTTTCATGCTCACAATATAAATACTGGGGAATTTTAGTGACTGTTAGTATAAAGTAAACATGAGTTTTCATCAATGCTTTATATTATGTTCCTTGGGTTTTATGGCTAGGATCCTTTGGGATTTTCCCCTACTAGATCCAAGACTGAGGAGGCTGCCATTGTTAGATACAGCACTTACAGAACTGACGTAGTTGCTATCATTGGCAAATGCTGTTGATTCTCCTATCCTCAGGAGACACTTTTTACATTACATAGAGTATCAAGAGTTTGTTTGTTCATATATGTTCAAGTTAACAGATGGCTTCTGAACTATAGGCCAAAGCTGGTCTAAATGCAACATTTCTGTTTTTAAGGAATGTCAAAGATTCCAATATTTGTTTTCATGCTGACTAGGAAGAAAAACAAAGATCTTTTCCTCTGAAAACATCTTTTTCATATTTTTCTACAAGACAGAATTTATTACATTAATATTTGCTGCTTAGTCTTATGATCTATCCTGCTAATTATTGAAAAAGAAGTTTGGGAAAAATACCATTGAGGAATTTTGAAATTACTTGTCAGGATTTTGACATTTCATTTCAAATTTGATTTTGCTTTTATTTCATTGTCTTACTTCATGTCATGAATTGCTAATAGCAGGAATGTGCAGGACTGGAAATGAAATTTAAAAATTGTTAAAGTGGTGCAAAACTTTTTTTTTGTTTTGAATGAAATATTTGTCTCTGGAATTTTCATAGTCAGTCTGTACAAGGTGTATTTCCCAAGCACTTCCATAATATTTAACTTTTTGGTATCCAGTCTTCAGTAGCATTTTTTCTGGCTTAATACTTAAACGTAAGTTTTGGTTTGATCTGGCTGGGGTTATTTTTGCTAATGTTCCTTGCTAACAATAGTATGCAATAAACTGATTTCTTGGGACAGTTTTTTCAAGAATTAGGATTGCTTGGGTAATAAAATCTGTCTTGGTGAGAGGTTTAGCACAAGAACTAGTATGGTTCAGGGTCTTTTGTGTTGCTTAAGATTTGTGTTGGCCTTCTGTGTAGGAACCGCTTCCTGTTTCCTTCATGAGAGAGAAATTAAACTTTTGTACAGTGGCTTGTACAGCCATTCTTAGGCTCAGACTAAAAGCAGCCAGGTCCAGAAATGTTTGTTTGTAGGAGACGCAGGTGTCCCTTCGAAGGTGTTTTTCAAATCTTTCATCTTCAGTAGGATTTGATTGCGACTGTAATGACATCCCTGGGGCTGGCCAGGCACAGCTGGATGGCAGACTTCTAATTAGGAGGCACCCATGCATGGTTCCCTCACTCGTTCAGGTGGATCCTTGATGCATCTCCCTGCAACAGATTTCTTCTTCCCTGATGTATCCCATCTCACTTGTTTCTCTTTGTCAGGTGGAGGACAGATGGATGGGTAAAAAGTATCATAGAAATGTAAGTACAAACATAAAACTCAGGTCAACAACACTGCTGATTTTTCGTGAACCTGGACACGGGTAAGATTAACACATTCCTTTCCTGACTTTTGTTTGATCCCCAGTTTGTCCAGTATCACTTTCAGTTTGGCTCTGTGTACAGCAGCATGTAAAAATCAGGGACTATTTTTGACTGGTGTAAATGGGTGGGGCTCCATTGACTTCCATGCTGTTTCATCAGTTTATTCTAGTAGGGAATTTACCCCCCTGGTTTTTTATTTCATTTGTATGGAGCACTCTGGAAATGTTAAACACTAGACAGATGCAATGAAGGAAGTAAATCTTAATCACTGCCCTAATAAAAGCCCTGGTGAACTTACTGCACATGGAACAAGGACTCCATATAGTGTCGAATCTGTGCCAGAACAGAGTTAACTCAGTGTGTTACAAACCACGATGAGAAGCTCTGAATAACCAGCAGCCAAACAGGGTAGCTGAGATGATAAAATCCATGCTTCTGACTCATTTGTTTATGATGGAATAATGTTTCCTCATTACACTGCCAAAGCCTAAATATGCTATTACATCTACCAACCATGCCATGGCACACTGGAAGATTTTAAGTGTAGGTCATACAATGATTTATCTGGGATGGTTTAAACAGAAATAATCTTGCCTTGGAGGGAGGTTGAACTAGATGACTTCTTGAGATCCGTTGTAGCCCCATTTTTCTGTGATTCCAGTTATTTCCCTGTAGGCAGGAGAGCAGAAAGTTTAACTACTTTACATGAATATCTTCCTTAGCTTTTTATATTCATGTAACCTACTATTAATTGGCACTTTCTAGACTGGATGATGCTAACTGACCCATAAAATAGCTTCCCTCTCTATCAAACCCCTTAACATGTTTTACATAATGATGTTTATTAGTGTTCTGGTTTTCTGTGCTTGCATTAGAGGTTTCTGGGATGTTTGCTTCGGGCCTTAGCATAAAGATACTGGTTTAACTTTTCTTCCAGCTGTGAATGGCAGGAATTTACCATGGCAAAAGTTTGGGAGCTGGAGCATAAAAAATCTAGAGCACTGGGCCCCGTAATGAGGGAGCCTTGAGAAAGTGGTGGTCTGTAAACTTCACTGCCTCAGGATTAGCTCCCAGAGGCGTTGTGCTTCATTCATGACCATTAGGCGTGTTTTCCCTGTGCTCTTAACCTGGGGCTGAGGCATGCATAATCATTACATCAGACCTCTCCCTTCCTCTTTATACCCCCCAACCTCTGTGTACTGGGGGACGAACTATTGTTCTGGCCTCCCCTATCCACTTGCTCTTTGTGTGGGGAGGAGCATATTGGATGCACAGTCCCTGCCTTTCCCCCTGCCTAGCATGCCTGGAACCACAATCCAAGCAGGTCTAACAGGTAGCAGTATACCCCTTTCTAGCTGCATAGGACCCAGCCACAATCTAGCCCTAAAGGAATCTAAAAACTACATATATGCATTCAAGCCCTGTCACTTTCCCTACGCTTCATCAGTTCCTGTGGTTGGTTTCTGCAAATCTTTGCAATCCCACCTCTGCCATCACCTTGCAGTAACATAATGTTACTAAAAATTTGGATATCAGGCCCTGGATGAATACAGCACTTCCTTCTCCAAGGCTCTCAGCAGCAGCATTTACCAGCATGACATTAAATTGTGGAACAGTTTCAGAACGATTGCTCCAGAGCTGAGACATCCTGTGCTGAGATTAATCTTGAACTCCATGTTTCACTTTGACTTGTAACTCTGAACAAACCTTGGCTGCAGTGCAGCAGTATTTAGTGCACAGCTAAGCAGGGAGCCACTGGAAGCAGGAGAGGTGGATCGGAGCACAGCAGAACAGAGCTAGTAGCAAATCTTTTTCATACCCAGTTCTGGGCCTGCAGAATCTTTAGGTAAGAGCCCAGAATCGCCAAACTTGAATCTTTAAACATGCCAAGCAT